TCACATGTAAAAAAGGCTCTTTTTGTTTAGTTTTTAAGACCATTTTTCCAATGATAAATAAATTTCTTCTAAATTTGTGGGACACGTTGGTAATATATTCGCCGAGCTTCGTATACATTCTTCCTTATTCGTTTTATGTCTGTTGTATTAAACTGTAAAGCTCACCATTTTAACTAACTTTTTTTTAAATAATTTTTTTTTTAGCCTAACTGATGGTTCATCCGTTTACACCCTGAACTAACAATTTGCCTCGATATTGTATTCCGATCATATATGGTGAATGGTTGTGTGATACATTTTCACCATGATGTTGTACGACAATGATTTTCTGTGTACATTTTAGTATGACTATTTCTTTTAATATATCGCCAACGTGTTGATTTTTTTTGTTAACTGATCCGATACTAAATTTATAACTACCTATAACTAATAACGTTTTACTWCGATTACTTTCAATAAATTCAGCCATTTGTAAAAAAAATAATAGTTTTGATTTATGAAAACGACGTAAAGATAGTATGATACATTGATACACGCATAGACACTGTGCTACTGTAGTTATGACGGTATATAGACTGCACAAGCATCGATTTTACAAAAATAAGTCAATTATTATTGATATTTTATCTTGGCTATAAAAGATAGTGACTCGCTATAATACCTATATAACAATCGGTCTGGGTACATTCTACATATTATACAATAACCTCATTATAATATYATGGTAGATACCAATCAACCAGTCACTCACATCTAAATTAATAGACAGCGTACTAAATTCCAGCATAAGACTATGCATTGAGGCTTTCAAATCAAGTCCTATAGAAAGCATAAGAGACATAGCGCAAGAAGCTCCTCCAGAGCTAAGAAGAGCAGAGAAGACACTCCTCTACGCTGCTAACATCATTAGAAATGCAGACAATCCAACCAACAAACACATAGCCGAAATCACTAAAATTGCCAATGATGATAAAATCCAATTGGAAAATATACTCAAAGTAAACCCTTACAGTTTCTCGCCATGGTCTATCAAATTGGACATAAATATGGAGCTAGCGCAAAA